CCGGATCGAAGCTCCCTCGAGCCCCATGAGGGGTCAGCTGAGGGCCCCTGGGGGTCCAGGAGACACGAAATGCGGGAGGGGTGTACCGAGTTCAGGTCTCCTTCAGTCGCCTTGAGGGCCAGCGGATCGCGCCGAATTGAGGCTCCTAGAAGAATATAGCTGCGAATGCTCCGTGCCTTTACGTGTCTGAGGAACCTGGGGGCGCAGGACGACGACGACGACGACGACGACGACGAAGACGACGACAACGAACATGACGACGCATACGACAACGACGACAAACCGGACAACGACGACGGCGACGGCGACGACAACGACCACGACGACGAGGACGGCGACGACGAACACGACGACGACCACGAACAAGACGACGACGAACAGGACGACGACGACAACGACAACGACAACGACGACGACAATGACGACCACGGCGGTGGCATCGACGACGACGACGAATAAATACACACAAATAAAAAGATTCCCCATGTTTTCCTGTTTTCCTATATTTTCTGAGTTGTTGTCTTCCCGCACAATTCCCATACTTTCCCATAATCTCCTATATTTTCATGGGGACCGACGATTCACTGTGTCTGTGTGTTCCTCTTTCTCCTGATCTAAGCCAGTTCGACGCCTCGCAGCGTCATTAGAGGCGGGCCGGCGCCCGCCGGCCCCGTCGCGCACGCAGCCGCACAGAGCACGCGAGGGCCAACAAGGAAACGCAGGGAAAGAGGCCAAAAGGAAAGCGTGAGCAGCCAAACCGTCAGGGCACCCGGTCCCCTGGGCCTCCGCTTCTCAGAGTCTCCTCGAAGCCACGACCGCTTCCATATAGCGAACGCGAGCCAGATCCATCCACGATGCTGGGCCTGAGTCTCAACACTTCGAGGATTGGGGAAGAACTAAGCCCATCTCGGCATCAAATAATCCCACCCTAATACCATTGCGTTTGACCTCGTCACCCGTGTAGCTTTCGGCCCGATCGAGCTCGAAGGCATTGGCAAAGTAGCGCCAGGCCACGGTGAGCAACTCCCGCGCCTGGCCGGCGCCTTCCTGGCCGCCTCAGCCGCCGCTTCAGCAATCGCTCGAGGGACCTTACAATCCTGCGGATGGGGCGTGGGACCTACTGGCACTGAAGTGGGCAGGCGCTGATGGGCTCGGCAATTGAGCTGGTAACACCGAAACGCGCGAGCCTTGAGACAGAACGCAACGGGCCTGCGGGGTCGATGGACCCAATCCATCGCCGCTTCGACTCCCTCACAAGCCTAATGCACAAATGCGGACGAAGAGAAAATAATCTAAAGTGGTCAGACTCTTGATAGACAGGCACGTCGTTAAGCCACGAACAAACCCGCAAGAATCAACAACGCTGGGATCAAGATTTCAGTCACATCCGACGATGAGCATCTGTTCATAATCAAAACTCTCGCTGGTGATAAAGAGCAAACGAATGTTCAACTTACACATCCCCGCACCGCTTTTAAAGATAACCACAAATCATGTAACGAAGGGTTGGCACCCAGGGAGGTCAACAACAACACGCATCAAGCGCCCACGGGCCAGGATGCTAGTGCGATCCGCTGGCCAAAAAAGGCCAGGGTGTGAGCGCTCAAAACGCAGCCACCCCAGCCCCGGCTCGACCATAATCACAAGGAAGGGACGGGGACGAGAGCATCTTCCAACCGAATCCCCCGCCGAGCTGGCCCATGTCCCCCTCGCGGTCCTGAGTGAAGCCGACATCCTGCGCCAGCAGGATGCTCGCCGAAGTAGCCCTCAAGCGATCTCGGATGACTGGCCAGCTGTTCTTATTCTACGTCTCGACGCAACTGCCATGGTCTCCTAGTTCAGACGACACAGCGGAGTCGCAGGAGTGGGCTAGGGCGGGGGTGGAGCAGGAATCCAGATCGGGAAAGACAACGCCCCACAGCGCAGGAACATCTTGCTGTTTACATGCGCTGCTCGTCGCGGCGCCAAACACCTCCAAACCGCTCCATGACAGCGGCCTCGTCCATGCCTCTTTCCCTCGCTGCGGCCAAAATGTCCTATGGTGGACGCATCGACCGATCATTGTCTTAGCGTGGAGGCCTCAGGGTGAAGTCCATGCGGGCTTTTGCACCTCGGAATTCAATCCGTTTTGCGACTCACCTTTTGCAGATTCCAGCCTCCAAATTCAATCGAAACGACGTTTCAGGTTTCACCCTTTGCCCTCCATCCGAAAAAAATGCTCGGATCCAGCACATCGAGTCCCATGTCGTCGGGCACTCGCTGGTGCCCGCCGCCCTTGTCACGGGAACCAGGGCCTGCGCCAGCAGGCTGAAAGGCAAAAAGCCAGGACCCGCTTCCGATGACAGTGGAGGAGCGGGCTCGGGTGCCAGCACCTCCTTGGCCGTGACGCTCTCTCCGAGAACCTCCGCGGAGATCTTGAACGCGCAAAATCCCATGAGGGTACTGAGCGCTTCCTTGGCGGGGTGCCTTTTCCAGAACCATAGGGTCAGCATCACACGACACAGCTGGTGCAACAGGGAGCGTCGGGACCAAATCACAACGTGGCGCAACAGTATCTTAAGCTGTCGTTTGGAGTTGTGCATGTAGTGAGCCCGCTTTTCCCTCAACTGCACGCATAAACTCAAGCTGCTCGACGACCGTCTTTGTCGTAACACGGAAATCCGACGCCCGACATTCGTATGTAGTGGCCGCCATAGCCTCCTTGGCCTCGCCCACCTGCTTCTCCAAGAGGTCGCCCGCTTGTTTGCCAGCATGACCTGGTAACTCCGGACAAGCAGGGATAAACTGCTGGAGCTGCTGGATCTGTTCTCCTGGAGCAAACCTTGTTGTGAACTCTCTTTCGCCTCTGAGTTGGCTGCCGTAGTCGCGACGAAGGAGGTGAAGCACTCCCTGCGTCACTGGCCACCAAAGCCGAAACCATGTCTGCATCGCATTGAGCTTCTGTTGGAGTGGATCAAGCCCCACCTCACCACGTTGGCGAAGAGGTGGTTCGCGCGAAGGGCGGTCGCGCTCAGAAGCCGCAGCACGCTCACGAGGACGCCGAGCCACGTCGGCCGGTGCACGCTCGCCGCCCCTGCACACGATCCTGGAAGCACAGCTGTTCGTGCTCCACCCGCACTACGTGCACGGCCAGGTGAGCATGTTCAGGGGGGCGTGAGACCCGGGCACAGGGGACTCGGAAATCCCCGACGAGATCGTCAAAAAAATGACGAGGCCGAGCCTGCATTTTGACGAGGCCTCCCGCTGCAGACATCCCACGAAACTCCTACTCGTCAAAATCCGAGTCGCGGTCGTCAAAAAACGATGGCGAACCCGAGTCCTGGCAAACCCGGGTCTTACGCTCCCCCGACATGTGGGAGCCTGCCAGGACATCTCCAGCATCACCTCCGCCACTGGCCATGGACTGCCCACAAAGGGGCCGAGGACTGCCTCCGCAGAGGCGCCGCCGAAAGACTGTGGCCACAGAGGCACGCACCGGCGACTGCCGCTCTGAGGGCCGGTGCTGCAAGTGCAGGCCGAGATGCCTGGGCCAGAGCCTGAGCCAAACTGGCTTGAGCCAAAATGGCTGCGGGGCAAAACGGGAAGGGATGGGTGAGAGGGCCAGGATGTCGGATATGGCGCAAGCGCACCGAGCTTGACTCCGCCTACTCTCCCTTCCCCCTTTTCCCCTCCCCCTACCTCCTTCCCTCCCCCCACTTCTGCACCCCCCACCACGAACCACATCCTGAGCAAGGCAGCGAGCGAGAGCGATGGGGCGATGGAGGGATAAGGAGGGGGGGAGAGAAGGAGGGACAGAGATAGGCAGGGAGGGCGACGAGAGCGAGGAGGAAATCCAGTGGAGATGCGGACGACCACACAGATCGGAAGGGGGATCACACCATGCCAACCTATGGTAACGGGCTGAATAACAACATTAGCTATATGGTCAATATCTGCTACCACGATCCGCCCTAGGTACAATCACAAATCCTTATGGAGCAGGCTGCCTCTTAGGCAACACAGGAGGCCTTGTTCTTTCAGACGCAACTCTCTAAGTGCGCGCCAGGGGCGGCGCTACAGGCGCCGCCAAGAGACAAAGAGGACAAGCATCGGCACATACACGTCGCCAACGCGACAAAACTCGAAGAACAAACATCGGCACAAGCATATAAACGTTTGGAGATTCGCCATGATCGCTTGGATCGGCGCTGGGCCCATCCCTGAGATCCGACGTTGCAGAAAAAAGCGCCATCGTCAAAATCACAACCAGAGCCCTACATCCTGCATTTCCGCGGCACTCTTACAGCGGGATCGATCTGTGATGGTCCCAGGGCCCGAAACCGGGCGAAAACGCCCGCTGAAAACAGCTGCACCGCCTGGACCTCAGGGCTGGCGCGCCCTGCGCGCCAGGAAGGGGGCTCCGGCGCCGATGCTGGGAGAACCTGCAAGGGCGCCCAGAGGTTCAGGCTCAGGACGCCTCCTGCCCTTCGCGAACAGAGCGCGCCCAAACTTGCCGTCGCTCGGACGTCCATTTCCCGTGCATGTTTCGGTTTCGCGCGTGCTTTTTTCGCTCGATGGTCCAGGATGGTCCTCGATGGTCCTCGCGACGAAATCTATACATATCCACTGCTCCCTGGCCAGGCCCATCCTCCACCCCGCAGCGGTGTATACGCCACGCCCTCCTGGCCTGGCCAGGAGGGCGCATACACAGCTCCTGGGTTCCAGATGGGCATGGTCAGAGGAGGAGGAGGAGGAGGAGGAGGAGGAGGAGGAGGGGGAGGAGGGGGAGGGGGAGGAGGGGGAGGGGGAGGGGGAGGCGGAGGAGGAAGGGAGCAGTGGATATGTATAGATTGCGTCGCCCGAGAAAAAACTGCGCACGTCCGAGCGATGCCAGGCAAAAGCACTTCCCGACCGACGGCGTCGGCGGCGCCGTCGCCGTGCGGCCCGCGGACCGAGCGGTGGAGCGCGCGGTGAACGGCGACGGGTCACGGCCAGTGCCGCCGCCGGGGGAGGGGCGGGGCCTCGGGATCCGGGGCGTCGTCGCTGGGCGGCGCCGGCTGAAGCCCCTGGGCCCGGGCGCGATAGCGAGGACGACGACGACGACGACGGCGAGGACGACGAGGAAGAGGACGAAGAGAGAACGACACGAAGAGAACGAGGAGGAACAGAACGACGACCAGGATGACGGCGAGGAGGAAACGACGACGACGACGTCGACGACGACGAGGAAGACGAAGACGAGGAGCATGAAGTCGACGACGAGGAAGAGGACCACAAAGAATAATAGCGCGACGAGGAAGAGATCGGCGAGGAAGACCGTGACATCCTCGCGTGAAAAACAAAAAACGACGGGAGGAATTCGGCAAGGTTCTGCCTCTGGAGGCCTTGTCGGTCCCTGGGGCCGTCAGACCACAGCTCTGGAGAAGGGGTCACGACGTCTGGAGAGCCACGATGAGAAACAAAAACAAAAAATGATGTCGAAGATCTTGGGGCGACGAGGAAACAAACGACGAGGAACTGGAGGAGGAGCCAGGAAACCCTCCTCCTCCTCGTCCTAATCCCCTCCTCTTCCCCCTGCCGTCCTTCCACCCCACGAACAACGACGACGGCAACGACGGCCGACGGCAACGGAGGATGACGGCGACGACGACACCAGAGGGGGGACGGACGACGAACGCACGGACGGCGACGGCGACGATGGCCCACGACGACGATCACGACGACCACGACAACGACAACGACAACGACAACGACGGCGACGACGACGACGACGACGACGACAACGGCAATAGACGGCGACACCACTACGCCGACGCCGACATCGACGCCGACGCCGTTGCGGGCGCCCGCGAGGCTGGCCTCGAGGTTCCTGCGACCAGCAGCGGGCCGCTCCGACTCGGCGACCGCGAAGACAGGGGCGGCGTCCTCGACCGCTGTGTGGCGGAAGGGGGCGAGGATGGGGCGCCGCACCGGGGCGTGCCAAAGAGTCGATGCTCCTCAAAGCGTGCTGGTCCACAGAAGCCCATCAACTCGACAAGAATGGTGTGACGATGCCCGACGCAGGCGGAAAGGGGTAAGCCCATGTTGGGCTGGCACACGTCCTGAGGATCATGGGAAGAGAAGGGGCGAGGAATAGAGAAATAGCAAAAGACAGCGTAAACCCGGCTTCTCAGAGGTCCGCGCGGATCTCTCGGATCGGCGCTAAACCCCCTCCCTGGCGCGCGGAGCGCGCCAGGGGCGGCGCCGAACCGCCAAGGGAGCCCAGCGCCGTGCCGTGTTTGCTCTTCTAGTACTCGCATTGCCGTCTCCCGGCCTGCCGAGCGCGCGTGCGGAAGGACTCTGCCGCGCTGTGGCATAAAAAGTGCGTACTTCTAGAAAACAATTAAAGAGAAGTCCACATAAAAACGATGAACCGGCTGTCAAGCTCGATCAAGAGGCAGCCAGATGAGGCCGCATTCAACGGGGGAGCAAGTCGGATGATTGAATCCGAATCGGCGAGTTAAACCGGATCATGCCGAATAAAGCCTGCTATCGACCAATGACGTACCAGCGCCGATGCTGAATTCGATCTCCCAGGAGCTGCATCCTGACCTCCCAGCATGCTCAGCTGCATGCGGGTGCGCCGACGCGGGGGGCCAGGACCAGGTCGGGCCATGTCCTCCCACAGGCGGCAATTGGAAGAAAAATAAAGAGTAGCCAAAACATGCTCCAATATAATAGAGGCCTCCTTGATGGGGTCGTAGTAGATGGGTTCGGAGTAGATGGGGTCGGAGGATCGTGTCGCATCGTGGATACATCGCCGATACCTGCGCGAGACGTCGGCGATGCATCGGCGATGCACCAGTGTTGCATCGTCGACATGAGCGATACATCAGCGACGTCGGCGTGAAGCAAACCAGGCTCCACATCGAGCCGCATCGGCGATGCATCGGCGATGCGGCGCGATCCTCCGACCCCATCTACTACGACCCCATCTGGGAGGCCTAGACAGATTCAGGAGTAGTCACAAAAATCGTCCACAGACTATTGCTCGACCAGCCTCGAATCTTCCTCCCGTGGACGGACCTGCCCGACGGCAGCTTCTGTAGGCTGGGGGCGGC